TCCCTTAATACTATATTCACACGCTTGCTAGAAATGGGAGACACTCCGGTGCAGTACGGCTATATAGACAAAAGGAAATCGATATAGAGCCAGTAACATTATTCTTTTTTTCAACTTATGTATTGATATTGAGATGTGCTTAAGAAGGTGGGGGAACTAGCAGGAAAGGGGGATGCAGAGACAAAGAAACCACGCAAACGCCATTGAGGTCGTATCTGACCCGCGTCAACGAATGCATCAAACCAAACGTGTTCAGTGTCCTTCGGACCACAACCAGTCGAGAGGGTCCAACTGAGGCCAATTTCAAAATGAGGTCTTTCATTTTTGACTTCGGCTAGCCTTTTTCCTCTTTCTCACAGACTGCGGTCGCGCAAACGACGCATGTCGCCAAAGTAAATGGGCTAGCATGCGTAACACGGGGCCGAGCAATCGGGTTCTTTGACTTGCAATAACGCTGCCGAGCAGTTAACTGGATCCTTCTGTACCATAAACAACACACCTAATACGCACTGTTCACACGATGTTCCCGACAGACATGAGTGTGATTTCGAGTGCAGCACTACTCGGACGTAACGCCTTTTTATGGCTCCATCTGAAGGATTAGGTTTCGCATCCGTATCAGGCGTGTATTTGGTGGGTGCGGGTGCTAAGCGTTGTGCAACGCTCTCATATATCCACTGCGACGAGGCTGGACCCTAACGTGGCGCGATAGTACGCGCGCCTCAGCCGTCCACTGAGCTATGCTCACTGGGGCTTTCTGTACCTTCAGAGGCACTCATACCAGATTGATGAATGATTAGAGACCAGACAAATTTTGTCTCCAGGCCCTACAGGTTGGGGATTGGAATGAGGTGGTCACCTGACTCTATAAAACGGATTCTCTCTAGCCCACTGACAATATCCCGCTATTTTATGATAAGTTCTCCCTTTCAGGTCTGGGTAGCCTGACAGTATCCTGCCCACACAGTGCAACGAACTCCTCGTCAAACAATTGCTTCTCTGGCCGTCGCAGAGAATGCTCAACGGCCCTCTATCTGCTACATAGAGCAGGGTAGATATAAGGGAATATGTTACTGGTCAGGTGTCGGCCGGTGGCCGAGTGGTCTGCGCGTTTGGTTTGCAACCATAAGGTCACCTGTTCGAATCCGCGTAGGTGTGGGCGTCCTCGCGGTATACTCAGCCCGCGCGCGATTGGTGGTGGTCGCGCGGCATTGAAGCGCCGTGACGGCGTACAGCTGACACATTGTTGTTATTATTACTGGTCAGGCCTTCTCGTCTTACTCTCCATGGCGCCTTTTCATCTTTGTCGTCCCGTTCTACTTTCACTTTTATACCCCTGTTTTCACTGTCCTAATGGCCCTCATTATGTTTCGAGGGTGGCTTGTTTTCTTGTTTCTACTCAGGGCGTCGCTACTCCCCTGTCGACAAGTCCATGTTCAACCGTGCGAACTACTTCGGTTCATCCGTTTCTATTCGGAGCTGCCGATGCTCACTGAGACTGGTCTGCTTCAGCGTACGCACTTTGTTACAGTTAGGCCGACAGTCATCACCTGTACGCTATAAACCTTGTCGATCGACATATGGTGTTTCTCCGAAACCCGGCTGCAAGCGACACCGTGGGCACTTTATCTTTGTGGTTGTCTGGAGATGCTGCAGCTTCGAATGCCGGTCAAGCTGATGTGGGTATTCTGAGCTCCTGGGCTGTAGCTGGTCATCTAGACTGGATACCAGTCAGTAGCCGGATGTGTGCCGTCCGATTGACTGGCTCGTTTAAAGCTTCGAAGTCGCGCGAGACTAATACGTACATGTTTGTCATCGCTGCCTGCGGCTCCACAAACTGTAGCGCTCACTCAGTGAAAGATGACTTCTCTCACCAACTAAATGAATACCTTTGTTATAAAAAGTACCGATACTTTAGTGCTGGCTGTTTCTCTAAACCCCCAAGTTGGAAATTCATCCACCGATAAGCTATATTTGGGAGGCCAACATAGTGTAGGTTACCATTATGATAACGGTGAGCTGTTGCTACACCTTTGTAAAGATTCTCATCTATTCCTCGCGAGCACTAACTTCTGACACAGCACCCTTCGTAGTTTGGTGCCATCCCAGTTTGGCTCACATCTGGTGGGAACACCGCGTTAGCAACGTGCGTGTTCGACGAGTTATTCTTGGCACAGATAAAGGAAATGAACCACTCAGCACCGTTATTTCACGCACCAGACTCCGATGGCTCTGCCACGTATTACGCATGCCAGCACACCGGCTCCCGCGACGCGCGTTATTTGCCGGCCGGGGGGTGTGGATGGAAGAAGAGGAGAGGTGGCCAAGCGATGACTTGGTCGAGAGGAATGAAGGCTCCCACTTCGAAACCGGTTTCGGTTGGCTGGATACACTTGCTGACATAGCTAGGAGCCGGCCTCAGTGGCGTTTGTGTTGTTTCTTTGTCCCTCCTCCCGCTTCGCCTACCCTTCCAACACGGTCGAACAATCCAAACTCAGACTAGCGGCTAGGAGATCGATCACTCCACACTCACTGACGCTCCGTACGCGCCACTTTGCTAAATACACGCGCACTGACGATGTCACCTCGAGTGGTGACGAAACGTTTGCAGTCAACCTGCCGAGCTCAGCGAACATTCAGACAACCAACTGAACAACCTGAGCTACCAACATTTGCTTCTATATTTTACATAATTTTTTTCTAAGTAGCCGGCTAGTAGCTTTTCGGGACGATGCCCACCCCTTACTGGTAGATCAGCTGGCTTGCATCTGTTGCACTTTTTTCTTTTGAGTTTTGGGGCGCAATAGCTGTGTTTTTCATCTCTACCTAACGTGTGTAATGATGATGGTGATGACAGCACCCGCAGAAGAGTGGCATGGTGTCCACTAGTCTCGGACCAGCCATGGACACAAATGGATCACATTGCGGTCATTTACCCCTGGAAAGGCTGTGTCCAAGACTGTCGCTTGGTTCGTAGCGCCAGCGTGAACTCCGACTAGGCGCTTGTATGTGACGATCTCCGAGTTTGTTTCAACAAATGGCTGCGGCGACGCTATGAGCGTACGAACGCCAGCCAACTGACATCCCATGCGTTCTGAATGCATGTCAAACTGCGCTGGCATGCGGGTTGAGTAATCGCTCACGGAACACGACTGAAGATTACTGGTCACATATCCTCCAGTCGTTATGAACGGCAAGCATGTCTTCATGTAGCAAATCAAATCACCAACCTGGACATTGGGTCCCTGGAACTTCTGAATGCTCACCGACACATTCTGCTGGGAGCGAACACATCGAGACTCAGGGTGAAGCTGCATGCTAACTTGAAGAGGGACCGCGACGACTGTTGGTCTCGGTATGCATTGGAGATGGCTGCTGCCATTGGTATCCACCGGAAATTATTTCGGTTGATACGCGAACTTGGCAGCAGGAGATTTGATGTTAGCGAAACCGTACGCGACGAGAGTGGATAACCTATCCACAGCTTGTCAAAACGTCTTGTGTTTGACCGAACATTTTGCAAAGCAGCCAGAGTTATCAGCTTCTGTATCGGTTATTGGTCGCCATTCTCCCTGGGCTGTCCCCTTGAATCCGCCATCACGCACAGCAGTCGAACGTGAGATCAAACTTGAAATTGAATAGGACCCCAAGAGCAGATGGAGTTCCTTCAATCCTCTTCATGTTCGAGGGATCAGCTCTTGTAGGTGATTTGCACGATTATTAGTGGAACTGTGGGAGCAGGAAATTCTCCCAACAGACTGAAGCCGCGGCGTTGTAGTCCCAGTTTTCAATGGAGACTCACGCTCGGAATGTGGCAGTCAGAGTGATTGGTCTGATTTGAAATGCCTCCAAGTTACTTGCCACTCGTTCTCCATGGGCTAATAAGCGACTGAGAAGAACACGCTGGTTTCGTCGAAATCGAGGCTGCAATAATCATATTTTCACTTTGCGCCATTTATTGAAGTACCGCCATATTTATTGGCGACTCACTGTAGTCGTGTTCCTCGGCATCAAAGGTACCTTAGGATCAGTGGATCGAGGTACTCTTTGAGACTGTTTACTTAGGAAAGGTGTGCCCGAAGGATAAGTGCTGCTTATTAAAGCAGAGAAGATATGGGAGTGACGACAGAATCCATCTTTACTGCCCTCCGAACTGCAACAGTCCGGGCATGAGTGGAAGAGCACTTTGTCTCCGAACCATGCTTGCTCATTTCCATAGAGGTTCGAAGTTGAGTCACATGTATGCGGTTATTCACTGGTATCCAGTCGAGTAGATGGCTAAAGGCAATACCGACGCCCGAATCACTTTGAACCATTGACTCATTATCGCCAGCGACGTGGAGAGTGTAGTCATTGTTGGTCGATTTGGAACCATGAAGTCGAAGATTCGTCGCGACGCTGTTATCGTGTATGCATGTTTCGGAGGCACAGCACACATCTTTACCAAGAGAGTGAAGAGTGAGAGTTAGTGCTGCCTGTTAGTCGATTCGACCGGGAGAGCGGACGTTAAAAGGACTAATGTGAAATAAGATCACTGATTTAAGGGAAGAGTTGCATGTATCGATAGCAGCAGGTACGAGGTCAGCTGCAATTCCTTGCTCAATAGACGAGAGAGAAGAGGGTTAAGATAGGATACAGCGGAGAGGAAATATTGTCAACGGAGTTAAATGAGCAAACATGTCCGTAATGCGAGCAACCCCCTTATTGTCGATCTCGTCGACCGGCTTTTCTTTCATACCCTTCGCTACAGCAGCAAAAGTTTGACGCCTCATCGCATGCAGCACAACTCAGTGAACCAACCGAACTGGTTTCATTTGTTTCAAGAGACACTCAACTCATACTGTGTTTCTATCTAGAACACCACTTTTCTCCTACCAAGTTCTTGCGTAGCATCTTTTACGACGAACACCTTAGCACCATTTTTGAAATTGTCATAAGTTTGCATGATTTTACATGGTTTCCGCGATAATCTAATGGATGCTTTTTGTATTTTTTTTAAGATCCCGTGGCACCGGTGGACGTCAGTCTCAAGTTGAAAGCCATCCCTCCAGTGACCAGGACGTACGTCACCATTTGTAGTTGTACTTAGTGCGCTAGATAACAATTGCAACTCTTGAAGAGCAGTGTTCGCTTGTTATTTTGTGCTAAGCGTTAATCGAGTTTTGATCATGGCTATTCGGAAATGGCTGTACTTTGTTCTCGGATCTGGGTTACTACCAGGAGGCGGAGGCGTGCGATTTGAATTTAGAACACTTGCTCTTCACTTGACTTTTGTTTTACATACCGTGAACCGAGATGCATGATCTTTGCTACATAGTGTTTCGGTTCCGTCTCTAACAGAACCATCTATAATATTGAGCCTGCGGAAGGACCGGTGGTGGTTTTGCGGCAGCGAAGCGTCGGTAATGCGTACCGGCGTACTGCTGATGCCTTTTGAACTAATGAGCTGGCTATATCTGTACTGTTGACTTATGGTGAAGTGACACCAACGGAGGGGCTTTGGATGCCTGCGGGCAAACTCGGCGTATTCAGCCAGCAAGTGACGACAGGAGTTGGGGCCTTGTGTGCCATTGGATAATGTTGGTCCATTCAATGTGTTATCAACAGACAATTTTCTGTCGCCTCAAGTGTCTGATCACCACTCTGGCGCTGTTCTCATATAACTGTGAATGGCTCCCAATCACCAGACAATGATTGTACGGAAACATATGGTTGGCCCTACGGCAGTTGTGTGATAATGGGGTTTTCAACGCAATCACATCAATGAAAAAAGAAAATGCATCGGCAGTGCGCACACTACCGACGCTTCGCTGCCACACGACCACCAACAGTCGCACGCAGCCTGGATATACCGCGCAAAACGAATACTATATCGTTCACATTACAACAACGCAGTGCGGTGTTTTAAAAAAAACAAGTAGTAAGAGACAACCGAAATCAACACTGTTAACCTACGGTCGTTCGATAGAATGAAAGTGGTGACAACTGCGGAGCCCGAGGACAGGGCCGATCCGTAGATCATGAAGCCCCTGTGAATTTGCGATCTTCGCTGACCAACGTCAGATTCATGTGTTGACGCCACTGCACACTGGCTCTTTTGATGGGGACACAATGTTTGGTGATCATAAAACTCAGCTCAACGATTGTTAGTATGGTTACCAACAAAGGAACATCCCTTAGCCACCCATACAACATGCCGACCAGCAAGGCTGGCTTGTCCTGCCCTAATGAACGTCGAATACTACTCTAGCACTACGACCGCAACTCTGTACACCTTGCCCCCTCTCCATTCTCACATGTCAGCGGACAACCTATCGATTGGTAGTGGGGAAAACTGGCCTTGTGACGAACTTCTTTGCGGCCACAACGATAATTCAGTTCTGTCAAAAAAGGTTTTGATTCCACTGTTAATCTCATCAATTACTGTGTGTTGCTACTTTCCCCATACATAGCACAGGTGATGGTAAGACATGTATTGACGGATGTCGAATATGAAAAGTCAGAGTGAACCAACACATGAGACACTAGAATTCGGGTATTCAGAATGCCACATCACGAATTTTGTCGTTGACCTGCTATCTAATGATAGCCATCTTCTATCCGGCTCTTTCCCAAGACTTGTTTATGCCCCCGAACCGGCATTCAGTCGAATGACCACTATCTGTTCGGAAAAGTGCTGACGACCGTTTCCTTTTATTTGGGGATCATCAGTGATGTGCATTCCAGCTCTGTTGTGGGGAAACAATCCGTAATGACCCGTGGGTTTAGACCTCGTGGGACACAGCTAGAAACGTTGGATGTGTATAGTTTCTGTTGCACCCCCGAGAGCCTGTACATGATCCTTTGTGTTTGCACTATTATCGATCAGACCTTATTTGACCGCACCAGCGTATATCTGGAATTCACAAGACTGAAGCCGAAAAAGGCTACTGGCTCTGACGCCCTGTCACCGATCGGTCTGAAAGAGTGTGCATGGAGATTTTTAACCGATGCTTAACGACGGATACCATTCCCAAGATCCGGAAACCAGCCATAATAGCACAAGTGCCTAAGAAGGAATCACAGAAGTATCAGCCGATAGCGTGCACCTCCGTGCTTAAAACAACGACTTACTTCGCCACATTTGCGTAAGCGATCACATAGGTAGTACCACAATTTGTCTATGAACCAGTATGTTCCACACTGGATACCGTTTCGTATCCTGTGCAATTCATCGTACCTGCCTTGGCTAGAACATGCAACACCGCGTACGGCTCCTGTTCCTCCATTATGCCACTTCCTTTTGGAGCCTCAAATGGCGTTCCCCCAAATGTATGTAACGTGATGCGTGCCTATTTCACAAGTTGTACACACTTCACGCAGCCATTGAGTAGGGGGTGTTCTACGCTTCCAGTAAACAGTGGAGCTGTTTCATCTCCCACCCTCTAATTTCCATCTATGTTGAATGTCTGTCCAAACCGTATCATCTCGGAGTGCATAGCCCAGTAATTGAGAGGTCTTCGAAACTCCAATGAGGATTAGATGAACTCATGATATGACGCACCGCATATTGCACCTGGGCCACTTCTCTATGTTGAGGCTGCTGCACCAAGCAGCACACGCGGACACCGGTACCAACTAGTGGTATCGGATTTAAAGCGTATCGCTCACTCTCTATGCTTTGAACGTCGAGTGGTGAAATATTGAAACAGGTCGTCGGTGACGCTAGTCGAGGCGAAATCGTCTCGGAATTTAAGAGATTCCTCGATGCCCATTTTGCGGACTACAGGTGTAGGGAGTGCATCGCATCCGGCTAAAATGTAGTGCAGCTACAATATGCTGACGCCGCTCAGGAATCAGCGACGTGATTCCGCACATGTGCCCGATCCACTTACGATGAAGCAACACAGATTTTTATCTTCTCGTTCTCTGTTCTCCGTATTCTTGATATCGCCAAGATTCAGGTCCCCATCCTTCAACCCTTTCAGGTGTTGTGATGCCACGTTCTCTTCTCTTCACTGACAATCTGCGTTCTTTGGTCGTGAGTGATCAGAGTATCCCTTTTCCATGCACTGTAAAATATCCCGATGTTTTTTAGTCTTCAAACTAATACTGATCCACACATTCTTGTGGCTTTTCGGAGTCTGGCTCAAAATTCTCCGTACCCTGTGCACTAATTCTAATGTTGGTGAACGCATGTATTCTCCTCTGTTATTTTCCCCCTAGTGCGCTCAATCTTATTTATCACCCAATGCTGTGGATTGAGGAAAGAATCACTTGTTTACTTTACCGCTAGCATGCACTTCGATTTGTCTCCGCTTTTCACCTAGATTTCTTAACCGCCCTACACGCTGCTCTAGCCAGTACGATACCTACTTCCATGCTGCCAAAATTTGTAATTTTACTCTGTCTTATCTCACGCTTGTTAGTCGACTTCAGAACACTATTTGCAGGACCGTTTGCTTTGTATTTTTGTTCGCCGATGCTATGTTGTATCATATTCGCAGTAAGTGTAAATTGCTTTCATGTGGATGTTTAAAGCTTATCTTGAAGCTCACCGATTCCACGACACCAAGCAGGATGTTATCACAATGCTTGATAGTTTGTCCGTAGATTCACGCCCCAGAATCCGAGTTGTAACGTGCACCAGCCGGCTCGTGGTGGAAACCTTCACAAGCCTGCCTTATAATCCGGAGGTCGCGGATTCGATCCTGCGTAGGGGGCCGGAAGACTCGCAATATAATTAGTACTCGCGCAACTGGTGGTGGCTGCGTGGCAACGAAGCGTAGGTATGGCGTATTGCAGATGCTTTTCTTTTCCACTGTTGCGGCATTTGGTGTGCGTTATTTTGACATTGAATCCATACGGTTCTCAGATATGTAGCTTGATGGGTTCGCACTCTATTTCTCAAATGAGTGCTGATCAGGCACTTGACGCAATTTGGGATCTGACAACACCTGACATACCAATTTTTTTTCTGCATTTAGAATCGCTCCGGATTGGCGAATACACGTGTGAGCGGAGGTAGAGGAGGACAGTCCATTATGAAACCGCGTGGATTCGGTCGCGGCAACCGAGGCATTGATGCTGGTCGTGCCGGACTTGCGGGACGTGGATCTTACCCTCGTCGTGGTCAGTAGACGCAGTTATGCACAGCGCCGACGCTGTGTGCATCACTAACCGCGCTCTTCAACGCATTGAATAGTTACGGTGATCCTCAAACATGCACTGTCGATGATGGTTAACTGCTACCCCGTTTTGTTTCCATAATCCTCTTCGTGCATGTTATTCACGCTTTTTCCTAATTGCTTCTACGGAGAATGCAGCCCCACTGTTCAGTACAATTTGTATCAAGTTCGAACCCCTCATTTAGTCCGTGAATTCTTCCTCAGTATGCAATAAAACGCACACCAGTGTGGTCCACCTTTACACTGAACTTTCGTGCTTATAAATCCCACTAGCATGAACTTCAAAAATGTCCCCTCGACTATTGTTCGCAGTTTTATGCGCGCGTCGTGGTGAGTTTACTTAATCTCGTGATAACTGCAGACTAGCGGTTCAACTCGAGAAAAAGGCTTATGTGGATATGTTCGAAATGAGCACGGCGTTTGGCTGCCAGATCAAGTCTCTGTGTGACAAAGCTGATAAAAGTGTCCACAATACTTGGTCGGGTTGGTGCATGTCTGAATAGGATCCACAGTATCGAACTTGAGTGAGGAGTTCTTAAATAACTTTCGATCTGATGCTCCCTGTTAAACATCTTTTGCCTCTGTTTCCTCAATGTTTCTACAACACTGGTGTCGTAACGACGGGAGAGAGCACGTCGCCTCAGAGCTATTGCCCAATTTTTTAACGATCATTTGAGGAACGCGTATCATGGCTCGAGACCGAACAAGTAACCGCAAAAGAGGCGATATCTGTATTGTAGATTAACAATCAGTGCAAATTAGTCAAGAGATTGCAACGAAATTACCACAGAGATGGGTGGACAGTGGTTGGGACAAATGCGTTGGATGCGACGAGTAACGGGTTGAGTGAAAGACAGCACAAAAACCCGGAATTCGGGTAGTGATACAAAAAGAAGGAAGAGGCATCCAGAGAGATGGCATGAGTAATAATGGGGTCGTCCCACACGTAGCGGGTGGGCACGGGATGTAAGAAATATCCACAGCAATACATGTGTTCTTCAAGGGATATTTTAGGACTGGGAACTAGGAAACTGGTGGCATCCGCTGTATAATATCCTTTATTCGGGCGAGGCAGAGTGATGTGTAGCAAGTATCCTTGGATTTGACAGTAACCTTGATATACCCCATTTGGTCCTGGTTTGGGGGAATTTATCATCATAGCGAAAGCATGAAACGGAAAAAATGTAGGTTAGCGAATGACGGCAGTGCAAATTGCATTCATCAAACGGAAGAGCTATTCGGATAATCGAGGGAGGAATAATTGTTCGGCTAAATGGCTGTGCTAGTATTTCGGCTAATGTCTCTGTTAGTGATTATTGTCTCCGTACGCTATAAAGAACAGTCTCAATTGCATACCGATTTACCTGGCCTGACGAAGCTTGTCAAAAGCGAAACTGCAACTGATTGCTTCCAAACCACTCTCACTGTTCTTCTTTCTCCTCAGGCTACACAGTCTATCGGTGCCCGCCTGCCGCGCCATGTCAACTCGGCACATTCTATATAAATTTAAGTACGCGATGCATCTGGGTACTACTGCGGAACCCAGCTAGCCGTTTGGACACGCTCGCGTTGAGAAATCCGATTATTACGGAACAAGACCTGGGCGTTGACAAAGCGCAGCGTAAGGGGGCCTGGCCTTATATTTTAGCACGTTCAGTTAGCGAACTGCGTGAGCAGAGCTGAGCGGCAATACTAAATGTCGATAGAATGCAGTGTTTACATGGTGTTTCAATACGGCCTAAGTACTCTGAAACCACTTAATGGGTTCACATCATCGCGATCCGGTTTGTGATACGTATAATGAATGACCGTAGCGAAAACCAATGCTAACAGTCCATGCGTACCTCGGCATTAACTGAATACGTTAACAGAAACGGAGAGGAAACAAAGTACATCTGGAGTGCTATTGCACATAACACTACACTCCATGACCGGTCTCGTCCTTGTCTATTCTTCGAATGAAGGCATCTGCGGACAATCACCGCATTACTACTGTCCCTTTCGGAAGAGACCAAACTGGAACAACGCAATATCGAGAGTGAAAAATCTTTAGTCTGTCTCCTCTACAGCACCAACGAACCAAGTGACTGGTTTGTTTAGTATGAGTTACGGTATGAATCGAAACCGCCTGTCGCGACCCAACAGTAGATGCATGCAGTGGAATGCACCATCGCTGTTCCACAAAACATCACTAAATGGTTAGGGCGTTGTGCACTCTTCCCAGGAAAGGTGTCAAATCATGCGAAGCGCGGATCCTTGAGTGAAACAAGAAAGGTGCTGTTCCCCCTGCCTCCCAGTAAAGTACCGCCATGCAGAAGTGACGATTTCGGGAAAGCCCGGTTCAGCAGCCCGTAAGGCGATGTCCAGTCAGTGATGGTAGTAGGCATGTAAATGAGATGGCATCGGGGGGGGGGGGGGGTTAAACGCGGAACATTTCCAACTGTCACAATGGGGGCGGCGCGCAGGCAAGAAGCTACTTGAATAGTCGATGGCCGATCGTTTCTTATCAGTTATATATCAGTGGAAGCTATCATCACCATCATTATACACGTTAGCTAGAGGTGGGAAACACCTCAGCTACTGTGCCGCAATATCTAAAAGAAAAAAGCGAATAAAATTCAACAGGTGTAAGCCAGCTGAGCTACCGGTAACAGATGGGTATCTTTCTGGTAAGCTACCTGCCTGCTACTATGCAGCAGGAAAGACAAATTACTATGCAAAATTATAATAGGCTAAATACTGAGATCGTGGTTGGAGCGGGAGACTAAGAGGGATGGGGTAGGACAAAGAAACTCAGCGCGACCGCAACTGAGGTCCGCTCCTAGCCATATCAGCAAGTGTATTCAGCCAAACGTGTTCATCATCTTTCGGACCCCAACCACGGAGCCGAGGCCAGCTTCGAAGTAAGGGCCTTCATTCCTCTCGAACAAGTCATCGCTTGGCTACTCCCCTCCTCCTTCAGTGAAAGCTACTGTGCACATCGCCACGGTGACTTTACAAAAACTCAAACGATTGCTGATACAGTGGGATTTCAGCTTATCCGTCAGATATAGTATATGGAGCGCCTCGGAGTGATCGGTGTTATCTTACGCTTCAGATGCGAGACCAGTCCCTTGTCCACTGAAATGGGTATACATGGTTCATGATACTCAACACGTTTTTCTCAAAAATATGTCGTTAATGGGAATGGGGGTCAAGCACATTTGGTCGAGGTCTTGTAAATATTAGTCTGTCACTGTTTTTTGCACAATATAATATATGGCATTATTTGTTATAGTGAGTAGTACAATAAAGAGAGAAGCTTACCGTCACTTTCATTAGAATGCATAGCGGAACATCGCCAGCGGAATGTTTAGTAAATAGACACGAAGCTCTGGACCCAATCGATTCAATCACTGGAAGTAAATGGGTAAGCGAGAAGTGTCGGTAGATCGCAGTTATAAAGAAAAAAGAAATTAACTGGCACTTGGCAAATGATGAAGTGATCAAATAAGGCCAATTTTGCATTTAGCAGAGGGTGGATCATTCGCCCTGGAAATTGCCTTTTGGTTCCCACGTATGTGTCACTGCCTCCTCTACAATCACACAAGTGCTGCAGCTTGCAACTGTCTTGTGACTGGACGAATGCTAACAGCTAATATACTGCATCAACGCTATGGGCGACACTTCTTAATACGTGTTCCATACCAGTCGTCGCCCTATTCGTCCGTTAGGCGTGCTCCACGGTGGGCCGAGCGGCAAATAGGACCAGGCATAAATCAACTGCGCAGATTTTACTGCGTTGACGGTAAGGTCCTAAAAGGTAGTACCGTATATTACTGAATATAAGTCCGTCCATAGATAAGGCGACAGTATAGCTTTGTAACATCAAATTTGTCCCTGGATGAGCCGACCCCGATTTTGACGTCATCACTACCTGCTCTCACTTGAGTGAGTTCAGGTGAAACCTGCTCTACTATTGGTCCACTGTTGTAACCGTAATGTTCTAGTTGTGGTTACCGGGGGCGTAGGGTCGTAAGAACAGACTTCCACCGCACCGGACAGTGTGTTGAGCAGATGTCAAGTCAAGTGAAACAGCTAAGGCAGCCGACAATATAGCGTACGGTGAGAGTGGGGCCCATGCATATGAACCACAGCAGAGCAGTGGGTGAGAGCGAAGTTCACGGTCAGAGGTGTGGGACGACGTACTTTTAAGGCACCGGATCACCTGGCATAACATAATGTTTAATGGCTATTGGTTCGCTACTGCCATCCGTCGCGAACGTCAAATGTGCAATATCCCAGAAATTTCCGACACGAAAGTAACGTGTCCAGTTATAAGCACTTCAAATCCCCGTCTGGAATACTGTCTGTCACTAGCAAGTGGAGCTAAGGGCGGTGAATTCCTGGGTGGATTTTGCTTGTGACTTTTTAACTCCCGTATAGCCTTTTTGTAAGCCGACACCCCCTATAAGAAAATGAAAAACTGTCCAAAAATCATCGGCTTATATTCGGTAATGTAGGGGAAATCCAATTTGGAGACAACTGATCAGCTTAATTCAAGGCTTTCACATATGCACTCATTTGATTGAAGATGGAGCTGTTGTCACAGCGAAACCGCAAGAGAGAATTCTAAGGAACGGAGCGGTAAGAGTCGTGCTCTAGACTCTGGAGGCGTTATTTCTTCCGTGGTTTTGCAAAGACGTGTGTGGAACAAAAAGTCAGTTTATCTTTCACATTGTGGCCACAAGATGTGCTGGTGGTGGTAGCACATGCGAACATTACTCAATTGTAGCATGAGTTTCCTGGAAAAATTTACCGAACGAAAAAGTGTCATATGTAGAGGTTGGGGACATCTTGGGAGTATCTTTTTTCACATTTCGAGTTGTCTATAGCAGTGCGATGCGATAAAAAGATTCTCTAGCCAACACTCAGTAGGAAGGCATTGGGTTGAGGATTACGGGCAGCGTTGCTGGGATTAGAGTATGCGAGACAGCTGAATGTGCCAACTTCGACAAAAATGAGAAACCTGGGAGGTAATGACTAAATATTGGGTTGACAATGCGTGTGTCACAGCTGGTGTGTGAATTAGTGACTTTCAACTAGCCGAAGCAATGGGACGAAAGGCGACGCTGGCCGGCGTGCCTAACGACCCCTGTAGTATGGAGGGCTTAAATCGGTCCGTAGGCAAAGCGGAAGATCCTATTTAGAGTAGTCCAATGTACGTCAAGGTTAGTAAGTCTCCGGAGCGAGACATCCTTCTTCACATAGGTCATGACGATCATAAGTGTATGTGAGTTATGGGTGGAAACTAGACCACTCACATGAACACGGAAGTTGATCCATGAGGATTCCCGTTAACTGATTAAATGCGGAGTTGCAGGCACCAGGGTCACCCGACGGTAGACTTGCGATAGCTAAACATTTTATCCTTAGACTCTGTGTATTCACGAACTGTTCACTGATGATTAGCTCAGAGAACTGCTCAGCAGTGACAGTTGCGGCAAAGAATTCAGATGGCATCAAAGGAGCCGTCGACGGAGGCAAATTCGTAACGCACGGATTCTGCAACAAAAAGACACTGAGATTGTGTATCATAGCCTAATTAAGCAGTGGGTCATTTTAAAAAACCACACGTTGACAAACAAGCGTTTGTTAGAAGCTAGTGGGCATGGATTGAAAGCGAGAAACACGTGATCATTTAAAACAAACCAACTAATAATAAGGGTGAATTGGTGACTAACAACGTATGCAGGAAGACAGGGCTGTAGTTAGGTCTGGTTACGTGGAGAGAGGAGCTCTCTCAGACATAATACGATTGCGCTGAGCAATTCTCCACGCGTGACCGCCCCTGGCCTTTGATCGCTGCTACCTTCGGGGTGCCGTCAGTTGTGGATGACAAGCGCGCCCGCAACGATGCATATCAGGCGATTAAAGGGAGCAATTACCACGCAAGCTGCCAGGACACCAGGCTGTTTTGGCAGCTTGGACGATATTTATGTCAGACGCGCGAACAGCCGACCAAATATGGAACACAGATGCGGTGTGAGTGGCGACCATGCCTTGGCGCGAACAAACGGCCAAATAAGGTAAACCGAGAAAAACTGGTCAAGCGGAATGCGTTCACATGGTTGAGGCCAGGACACCAAAAATGGAGGGATCAAAGTTTTCATAATAAGAATGCCCTATATATAAAGTCATCCCTTTACAAGAATACACCGCTTAGCGAGCGTTGTACTTTTCATGGCTGGATTGGGCGCTAAGCAGGGCAGGCCATGAACACTCCGTCGCAACGACTGGACCTTAGCGTGGTGCCACCGTTCACATACCTCTGACCTATTGAGTTATACTGGCCCGTGACCTTAAGGATCACAGGTCTACCTTGTAACTCGAGGGTGCGGGTTCGAGCCTGCGTAGGCACCGGGCGACACTCGCAGTATCCTGAGCACACGTGGACCGGTGGTGATTGCGCAACAGCGAAGCGTCGGTACTGCTTATGTGTTTCATGCCTGGGTGGTGCCACTTGAGAGCTACTCCTACCAGGTTGGCCAGTAGTTAGTCATCATTATACACCTCAGCCATTGTGTCGCAATACAAAAGAAAAAAAATGCAACAGAATAACGCCGGCTGAGTCGCCAGTAACGGATGGATATCGTTCCGGAAAACTAACAACCGGCTATTGTGCTGTAGGAGGAGAGACAAAGAAACTCACAACACAAACGTCACTGAGGTCGGCTACTAGCCAGGTTAACAAGTGTATGCAGCCAAACGTGTTCATCGTCTTTTGGACCCCAACCAGGGGGCCGTGAAGCTCCAACCGAGGCCAGCTCCGAAGTGAGGGCCTTCATTCCTCTCGACCAAGTCATCGCTTGGCCTTCTCTCCTCTTCTTCCATCAACATCCCCGGTGAGCAAACAACGCACGTCGCGAAATTCGGTGGGCTGGCATGCGCAACACTTGGCCGAGCCATCGGAGACTGGTGCGTAAAATGGCGGTGCTGAGCGGTTCACTTCCTTTTCCTGTGGTAAGCAAGGCGTCGACCACGCACGTTGCTCACGCGGTGTTCCCGCCAGATGTGAGCCAAACTGCAAAGGCACCTATGGTCGGATTTAACTAGACGCTGATCTAGGGGTCCAGGTTTCGCAACCGTACAGTAAGGTCGAAAGTATCATTGCATTGTACACTCTGCCCTTCAGGACAAGAGTGATGTCGCACCACCGCCATAGGTGGCGAAGACTAGCAAAAGCACTTCGAGCTTTTGCTATACGGTTCGTGATCTCGTCTTCGATTCCAAAGACGCTGATACTTCCTAGGTAGTTGAATTTCTGAACGACTTCTGGCTGATCCCCACCAAGGGTCAGCGCAAGAGGCGATCCCTGTCAATCTTGGGGGAAAGCTTAGCACTTCGATGGTGCAAAGCAAAGCCCGAAGCGGCTGACAGCCAGTGCTACTCTGTCCAGTGCAGCTTGGCACGTCTGAGAGCTGTCATAGATGAGGGCAATGTCATCTGCATACTCCAAGTCAAGAAGTCGTTCTCCTGGGAGTAGCTCCACACCTTCTAAGACGTGTCCTGTAAATGCAATCTCCATGACTTTGGGTGCTGTGTCGGAAGTAAGTGCTCACAAGAAATAAGCGCAAATCTTCACGCAAATGAAGTAACCGCTGACCGTTATCATTACGGGAGCCTACACTATGTTGGTCGCCCAGATGCAGCTCGTCTATGAACAATTTTCCAACTTTGAGCGTTCAGATCCCCAGCCAGCACTACAGTGTCCGTGCTGCTTCTGTAACGAAGGAGATCGTTCAGTTGGCGATAGAAGTCGTCTAGTACTGAATCATCTCTACACTTCGTGGGGGCGTGCGCAGCGATGACAAACACGTATTAGCCATGCGTGACTTCGAAGCTTTGAACGAGCCAGCCCATCGGACGGCACTCATCCGGCTATTGATTGGAATCCACTCAGCCAGAGCAGCTTCAGTCCGGGAGCTAAGAGCAATACTAGCACCGACATGGTCGGTACTCGAAGCTGCGCAAAAAGAAACCAATACTAATATCACCTGAAAGGCATCGTAAAGCGAGCAGAGAACTCGAGTCTTGCAGGCGGATTTCCGATGAGCAGCAGATATCGATCGAGATGGTCTCTAATGTTCGGGGAAGTGCTGCATGTTGACCGATCTGAAGCAATGTGCGTACATTGAGGCATGATAATCTGAGGTAGGATAGAGGGCTCCAAATAGAAGCCGATGAAATGGAGTTAACCGCTTGGTTGGTCATGGGCTTGTCGGCGGGGCAGCAGTGACACCCCGCATTCGCATGTGAGTAGAAACTGGTTTGCGCGTAATAAAACGCAGGGGAGGGCCAATAATTAGGGAGTTTGAAACGGAAGATAAAAATATTGGCACCGGAAGATGCGGGTGAGAAAGAGTAATAGAGGAATAAGAAGACGAAGGGGCTTGGGCGGTAGCATCTAAACCCCTGCTCGATGCAGCAGATAGGGCGCCGTTGATTATGTGCGGGCGGCCAGGGCATAAAAGCAACCATATATATATATATATATATATATATATATATATATATATATATATATATATATATATATATATACATTAAATTTTGCCTTAATGCTTTTCTTTCTCATATAAATGTCTACCTATACTTTATTCCATTAACTTGCGCACCTCGCTTAAGCCAATCGTATTCGATTTCCATAAAATTTTTGTGTTCGCGGCACTTCCGTAAAGTATACTTTCTGACCTCGTGAACTTAGCTCGGATTCGTTTGTAAACAACTTATTTCATATGCTCATTAACTTAAGATTTATGTCACCGTTTCCTTATGCATTAATCGAGTTATTTTCTTTGTATCTCTCTCTCTCTCTCTCTCTCTCTCAAGTGATTGGCTGTTGTTTGATATCCCCGGTGTGGCTGCGCTTGATGTGTATGTTGCCAAGGTGCCTACCTGTCTATTACCCACTACATCGTTCATACTGGCTCCAGGAGACAGTTGGTCGTTGCTGGAGGGGACGGGGTGCACGGTCCTTGTGGCCGTGTTAGGATCAAAGAGTGGTTCCATGCACTCAGTGTGTAGCGGACTATGATCCAGCCACCGCCTTGTGTGCGCTTGATTCCCAAATACAGCGTGCTTGTGTTTACCTGTGAAGGAGTGTGGGCCGGCTCCGTTGATGAAACGTGGCTCCCATCCACATGCCTCCCGGTTTTATTCCTTCGGGTTTACGCTGGATATGGGGTGTGTGGAGCTGTGGGTGGTGCAGCGCAAGCCACGCATGGTCCCTCTGTAGGCGCAAGCGTCCTGTGGCTGGCCACAGTGAGAGGCAAATCCGAAACCGGTTACCGCCAACCATATATATATGGCGGGAGAGCCTATGGCGTGCTGCGGCTGGTGATGGCTACATCCTGACAGGTGATCTACCCACCGCTGCTACTGTTGCGCCATTGGCTCATGTCCTGGACGCCTCCTCGTGGCGACCGCTGGGTGGGAGTTGTATTTCGCCCTTCTTCCTGCTAAGATCCAGGACACCAATCCGCATGAATCAGTGAAGTGACCATGTGCCAGACCCACTGCCTTTCGGGTGGACATTTAATCGAAGGCTTTGGCTGAAGACCCGAGTCGTTCTCCTGTCAGGTGTGGGCGCCCTGCCAGTATCGTAATCCATCCTCTGCGGAGGTTAGGAAGTGGTCGGTTGCTCTCTTCCCGTAAAACCCAGCCATGGGAGACAATAGGCATACGGGTTATAAGCTCACAGCTGTATTGGCGTAGAGCACGAGCGCCACGCATTGTCTCTGACGGTGGGGGGGGGGGCACTTCCGGGTGTTCAGTGGTTTGCTACTACCCGCCTCAAGCCAGGCAGCCCCTGGTCAAATTAGTGCAAACCTGCCAAAACCCACCTGCGTCTGGCCGTGGTCGCAGGTGTATCCTACTACGGTCGCAAAACGTATATAAATCGTTCTAGTACCTCAAAGGCTACGTGTGACAGCCGTCAAGCAGATCGCAATCTGTCTCTGCAATCACATTCCCGAGCTGGATCTGCTCCCCACTGCCTTGTGGGTCAGGCTTTTGAGCCAACGTCTCCGGGCGGAGTCCCTCAAGCAAACCTCGAAATCACCCACTGCCTTGTGGGTCAGGCTATTGAGCCAAAAGCTCCGGGCGGAGTCCCTCAAGCAAACCCCGAAGCATAACGACCATCTCGCGTGCGATTGCCCGCCAATGCAATCGTATGCCTGCGCGCAAAGCACTTAGCATCGGGTGCTGGAACGTGCGTACACTACTGGACCGGGACTCCAGTGAGCGCCACGAGCGACGCACTGCAGTGGTCGTGATGGAGCTGGCGTGTTACCATATCGACATTGCGGCACTCGGTGTAACTCGGCTCGCTGAGCAAGGTAAGTTGCATGAAGCAGGTGCTGGCTACACATTCTACCGGGTGAGCAACGCCGCCTCAGCACAACGTGATCATGGGGTCGGATTTGCACTATCCGATCGCCTCCATGGCCAGCTGATGGGCGAACCAACAGGCAACAGCGCGCGACTGGTGACTGTTCGCCTAC